AAAAAGTTATTTTAAATAAATTATATATTTACAATTCCTATATAATTTATATATATATTTATTTATATTTATAATTATTTTAGGCTTTTTATTTTTTATTTTTTTATTTTTTTCTTCAGTTCTATTTTTTTTAATTTTATATTAGTTCTTATATTTCTTTTTCATATTTTTACATTTAAATATTATAAAAATCATGCATCTTTTATTAATATACATATAGTTTTTCTTAATTTTCCTTTTATTGTATGTTTAATTTATTTTTAATAAGTAAATTTATGTTTTTTTGGTATTTTTCCTTTTAGAAATGCAATTATAATATAAATTTATTAATTTTATTCTTTTATTTAAGTTTTAGTTTATTAATATTTTCCTCTTAATCTTTTTTAATTAAATAATTTAATTTTACATATCAGAAATTTAATTTTGCAAATTAATAATTTAGCTTTGATTTATAATTTAACATTCATTAAGATTTTAATTAATTTACTATTAATATTAATGCTATAATTCTTAATTTAATAAATTTAATTTATCAATCTATTAATATTATTAATTTAATTTTAATTATAATATCTATAATTATTCCTCATGCTATATTTAAATTTATTGAATTTAATTTTAATAATTATCGTTTAATTATAATTAAGATTCTTTATATTTTGATTTGTAGTTTCTTTTTTTTATCTTTTATTTTCTAAGTTGATTTTTAAATTTGAATTTTAATCTATTAATTATTATATTTAATTTTCTAATATATTTTACATAAATAAATTTTTTTATAAGTTTTCATTTTCTTATTTTAATTAATTATTTTCTTATTAAAAACATTAAATTTAAATTATCTAATTTTATTTATTTTATTAAAATTCTGCAATATTTTATTCAAATAAACTTTTTTGCTCTTTTAATATTTTATTTTCGTTTGATAAATATAATAATTATTCATAAACTTCGATATCATTTTCAACTAAAGAAACATTAATAGTCTTAACATTTCGTTAAGAAATATGAGTTTCATTCTAAATTAATTTTTTATTTTAAAAAAAAATATTATTTAGATTTAGTTTTTATTGTTAATTAATGAAACTTTTATTCTTTTTTAAATTGAAATAATTATTTCTTTCTTATTCATTTTTAAAAATATAAAGGCTATTATTATTATTATTATTATTATTATTATTATTACATAATATTTTAAAGTTTCCTTTTATTTTTTTTAACTACTTTATGTTTTTAAATCTTTTTAATATATCTTATTTTTTATACTTTCTTAACTACGAGATCTATTCAATTTCTTATAATACTTATTTAACTTTTCGATTTCTTAATTATTATAAATACATGATTAAGATGATTTTTAGTTTATTTTTTTAAATGAACTACTTCTATAATTATTTTGTTTATCAATTTATTTATTTTATTTATAATAAAAGATTTTATTTTATGATTTTGTTTTAGCTATTTGGTAATTTATTGCTAATTAATAATAACTTTTACTATTATTATTAAAGTCAATTTCATGTTTATTTTTTAACTTTTTATATATATAACTTAATTTTTATTTTTTTTTACATCCAATTTATTATCTAGCTTTTAATAAGAATTTTGAGTTTTTTACTTTTTTATTTATTTTTTATGAAAATAATTTTTTTTACTTAATTACTTTATTAATTTGTTATTTTTTTATTATTATTAGTTATAATCAACTATATCTTTATTTATTATAAATTTTGTTTCATTTTATATTTAATTTTATTTTTGCATTAGTCCACAATAATTTTGTTAATTTTATTTTTAAGTAAAGTGGATTTAATTCATTATTTTTTTTATTTTTTTTTAATTAAATTTTTATTAAATTTTATTAAATTATAAAAAATGTATATTCTATATAAAAATTAATACCAAGATAAAAATAAATTAAAATTAATTAAATAATATATTATTTACTATTATATATAACATTTTTTTATTTAAAAAGAAAAATAAATAAATTTAAATAAAATAAATTTAATATATATATATAAATATATAAATTATTTATATATATAAATATTATATATTAAAAATTTTAAATAATATATAATTTTTTTTTAAATAAAATATTAAAATAAAAAAAACAGAAATATTATTTATAAAAAAAAAAATGATTAATTAATTTTAAATAACAATTTATAAAAAAATATCTTATATTTTTAAAATAAATTAATTTATTATATCAAGTTAAATTTAATTAATTAAGAAAAAAAAATAAAAAAATTCCTACAGTTTTATTTTTTTTTGTTTATATAAATAAAAACAAATATTTTTCTTATCATTAATAACTTGATATTTTTAAAAGAATTTGTTCTTCTTATTTAAATTTCTACTGTGTTACTTAGGGGTCTATTTTAATGTTTGATTATAGTCATATTTATAACATTCAACTAAAGTTATATATATATTTATTTAAAATTATTTAACTTAAAATTAATATGTTTTTAACATATATTTTAGTTAAAACAATCTTAAATGTTTTTTGTTTTTTTTTTTAAATAGACATTTTTAAGTGTTTTGTATTTTACTTTTAAGGTTAATATGGTTTTTTAGTTCAAGATATTTAATTAAATATTTTAATTATTATAATTTGGTTATTAAATTTATTTATTATATATATTTTTTGATTAATTTTATTTATTTTATATGGCTTTTTATATTAACTTTTAATATTTTACTGACTTTTTATATATTTTAAGAAATTAAATATTTGATTATAAATAATTTATGCATATATTAATAATTTTTTACTGAATAATATATATTTTTTTAAAAAAATAAAATAAATAAAAAAAGTACTAATATTTTTATTTATTTTAATATTAAACAAAAAAATAATTAAAATAAAAAAAAATATGAAATATATAAAAAATAATATATCTTATAAATATATATATTTATACAAATTATTAAAATGATAATTTATAAACAATTTTTTTATTTTATTTTTTTCATTTTTTTTAATCCATAAAAAACGACTCATAAATTTTTTTCAATTCCGGTTTTTATTCAAAAACAAATTTATTAAAACACTCAAATCTCTTATTTTAAGTCTAATCTTGATTTTAATCTTTAAACATATCACCAAATTATACTTTAATTATTTATCTAGAAAATTTATGAAAACAATTCGTTTTTTATTAAAGTTTTTCTAAACTTTATTAAAGTTAACCATCTTTTTGGACAATTTTTTCTTTTTATATAGTTTTGTCTATTTAAGGAACTAGAAATTCCTATGGGATTGTTCCACTTATTTCAAATTCAGGATTTCTTTCAAAATAATATCGATTTTTATTAATATCTTTTATCACATATACTTATTTATTTTCTTCTAGATCATTTATTTCATCTTCTAAATTTGGATGGATACTTTTGGCTTTTTTTAGTTTTGGGTTTTATTCATGTAAAGGAATATTGTGTTCTTATTTTAAATATTCCAAAAAGGAATGTCCATTATTAAATTTTTCTTTTTTTATTTTTTTATTTTTCATTTTTTTAAATTTAAGTATAAAATAAATATATATATATATATATTCTTTTTAAATAAAAAAATATTTAATTAAATAAGTTGATTTTTTTTTCTATAAATAAAAAAGATTGAAAAAAATAAAAATAATGACTATTGAAGAAAAGTTTAATAAAGCATTAAATTTCATTAAAGAACCTCCCAAAGGTCATCCTCCAGTAGAATTAACAAATTAATAAAAATTAACATTTTATGCTCTTTTTTAACAAGCAAAATAAGGACAATGTAAAGGATCTTAACCATCCCGTTTAAAAATAATAGAAAGAGCTAAATATGATGCATGGAAAGCCCTAGGAAATTTATCAAAAGAAGATTCTATGAATAAATACATTACTGAATTAACCAAAATTGCACCTAATTGGGATTTACCATAACCCAAATTATGAAAAAAACAAACAAACAAAAAAACAAAAAAGACATATATTTAGTATATATATATATATATTTTATTTTTTTTTTTCATCTTTTTTTTAATAAATAATTTTATTTTATAATATATATATATATTTATACGTAGTATTAAATTAATATAAAATATTAAAAAATATCTTCATTTAACTAAAATTCCTGGTTTATAAAATAAAATAAGAGAAATAGCAATTGAACAAAAAGCACCTCCTAAATAAATAAGTAATTTCCACCCGATCATTTTCCACAATCCTAAATCAAAAGAAGTTCCTTTTAAAAAATTTGCAATTCCTCTTCCTTCTTTCGGTTTTTCCAAAAAAGGATTTTCATTAGGATCATCTTAACCTTCCCCTACAGGTTAAGATTCAGCTAATTATTTTGAAACTATACTCATTGAAATTTATAATTCACCCCTAGAACCTTAATGTAATGGATGTTCTAATTAATATTTTGTACTAGATAATTAATAAGAACCTTCAAATCTTAACTTTCTTAAAGCTCTTTTATTAAAAATATTATATATATATTTATATATATATGTATATATATATATATATATATTATATATAATATAATTGTATATAATCTATATATTTGTTTTAGTTTTTTTAAAAAAAATTTACTTTTTTAAAGTAATAACGGTTTCTCCTAAATTTTCATCTGAACCAACAGTTGAAAAATTAAAAACTTAAATTCTTAATCTAGGAAAAAGACATGGAATACAAAATGGGAACACCATTCTATTTTTTTATTTTTTTAAAAATAATAATAATAATTTTATATTTATCCATATATATAAAAGTACCTATAATTATAAACTCCATTACCATCTTCTGAACCATTATGAACATCAGTTTGTTTAATAATTTCTTCTCCATTAATATTAGCGTTTCCATCTAAAGCTACTGATACATACATGCTTAAAGGTTTTTTATCTTAATTAAGAGGAACATTAAATACTTCCCAAACAATTAATCTTATCTCGAATTCTAAAGGAGAAGGCTTTTATATATTCGAAGGATCTATTATTCTGGCTATATCAACTGGAAAAGGTTCAATAAACATTTCTACTGTTCCTTAACATGTTTTTTTACAAGGATGTTTAAGCTTTTTTTATTTTATTTAAAAAAAAAATAAAAAAATTACTTCAATATATTCAACTGGCAATTTTAAATCTTTATTAAAAGCTTCAATTTTACTTTAAAGCTCATTTATCTTACTTTCATATTTTTCTCTTTTTGCTCCTGTTCCATCTTATTACTTATATTTAAGAATTTCTACTTAATCTTAATATTTATTTAAATAGACTTCATATGTTATTTTTTTCTCAAATCAGTCTACCCTAGTACCCTATCTTCTAAATCAATTTCAAATTATCCTATTAAAGAATCCATTAAGGTTCCTTTATTCATTATATTAACTATTAAATTCCAATCTTCTGGTAAAAAAGCATCCAATTCGTACATTTTGAAAAATTCAGGATTCAAAGTATCCTTAGCAACCGATTAGTCATCTTTTATCATTTTGACAATATCAATTCTCCCCTATTCGGACTTCCCTGTACCTACTTAAAGCATTGGATATGCAGAAGCAGAACATGTAGCTTTTAAACCTGCTAAAAGATGATAAGCTTAGATTCTTTCTTCTTATGCGCTCAAATTTGTACATCTGAGAATATATACACGAAGTTTTAAAGGATATTATTAACTAAAAAATTATAAAAATTCCTTTTTGAAAATGTCAAAAGGATATTATTAATCATCTTCTTCTAGTTTGTATTTTATTAAACATTAATTTAATAATGTTGTATTTCTTAAATTAGATGAAGTATATGATTTGACCTTTTTTTATTTAAAAAATAAAATAGTTTATTTTTATTTATTTATTTTAAGAGAAAACAAAAAAAATACTGATTTGATTGATCGTATCGAGTTTTCTTAAGATTAATTTTTTTAATTAGTCCTTCTTGTTGTTTTTTCTTAATTTACTTCTTCTTCGGATATTTTTTTTATTTTTAAATGAGCTTTTAATACAGCATTTGTAGGTATTCCTTATCCTCCATTCTTTTTTTATTTTATTTTTGTTAAATAAAAATATTTTAATATATATATAAATGATGATTATTTTTTTAATTCTTTTACAGATTTTCCTATTTAAAATAAAGGAAATTATAAATAAGGAATATTTTTTTATAATAACTAAGACATTGGTTAAAATTAAACTTCTCTTCCATAATCAAAATTTTCTAAAACTATTTTATTTTTCGTATATATATATATATAAATAACAAACAAAAAAACCTTAATCTTCATCTTGCTCGAGAAATTAACTTTCTACAACTTTTTGTTTTTTTATAGTCTCAATATCTCTTAAAATCTTTAATTATTATTATTTGGTTTCTTATTTGGAAGTATTTAATTCAATTAATTATTTTTTTAGTTCATTAATTTATTAATTTCTTTCTAATTAAAATAGTTATTCATCTTCCTAATTCTATTTATAATTAATTAAAAATAAAATAAAGTTTTTATTTAAAAAAAAGTAAAAAATAATATTTCTTTAGTTAAAAATAATAATTCTTTTTACTTTTTCAAATTTAATAGATCTTTAAAATTATGCATTTTTAAAAGACTAAACTAAATCATAACTCGATAATTATAATTAATTTTCTTCGGAATTTTAAAGTTAAACTTTTTAAGAAATCATAGATAAACTAAGAACTTTTTCATCATTGTTATTGGTAATATTATTATAAGTATTGTAAACAGATTATTATTATTAATCTTATTAAGCAATTAATTATTATTTTTCTTCTTTTGCTTAATTTAAAGGTAATTAATCTTATTATTAAATATCAATTTTTGTATTTAGAGTATTTTAATTATGTTCTAAATTAATAAATTCATCAACACTTTTTCTAAAATTTTCATCAAGAATATTTCTATTATCTTTATCATTTGATCTTTATTTAAGTTCACACATTTATTATGATATTAATTCTTTATTTTCTTACAAATTTATCAAATGGCTAATTTTCCCCATTTCAAATAATTACATTACTTCACTATAATAAACATTATTTGTTATCCAAGGTATAAATTATATAATATTAATAGCTGTATAATATCTATATTAAATTAAATAAAAAAATAATAATAGATAAATATATATAGATTTATATATTTAAATATATATTTATATATATATATATATATTATATAAATAAATAAATAAATATATATATATATATATATTGTTTATAACCTAACTTAATTTTATAAATTATCTTTTTCTCTTAATTCAATTTCTAATTAAGGCAAAAAACGAACATCAATAGGTATTTTAATTGGTTCAGAAATATGATTTTTCAATAAATAACAGAAATTGGGATTTGAATATAATTTATTTGAAGGTGCATATTGTGGTTGATCTTACTAATTCTATAAAATATCTATTTTTGCTTCATAAAAATATTCTTTTTTTTATTTTTTTTCGTCTCTTTTTTTTTTTTCTAAACAGAATTTTAAATCAGGCTATGCAATTCTTAGAATCAATTATGGATTTTTTAAAGGGAAAGGCAAATTTCTAATTCCAATAACAGGAAAAATTATTTAAGTAAAATTAAATTAATTACTATCTAATATTTTACCTATATATTCATTAGTGTAATCAGTTTATATTTATTGATCTTTTTTAAAAAGTTAAAAAGAAGCTAAAATTCTACCATTACACATTCCGTTTTTCATTATATGATAAAATTAATAATTTTAATTAATTTCAGTATATCCATCAAAAAATTTATCTACTTAAACTTCACATTCTGATGATTTTATAGTAATTTATCCTTTTTTTTTTTTTAACAAAAAATATTAAAATAAAAAATTAAATATACAAATATTTTATATTATTATATATATTTATATTAATTTATTAAATTTATAGATTTAAACCTATTGATTAATCAACTAAATAATTAGTTCCCATAATTCCTTTAGCGTTAAGATTTGTAAAATTTAAAATAATATTTGAAGAGAATTCTAATTTTTCATCTAATTAAATTTCATCTTAAATAAAGACATTCCAAATAACATTTTTACCTTATTTTCCTTTAACTACTGGTATCTATTTAATGCCTAATTACATAAACATTTCGCATAAAATATTCTCAGAAAATTCATTTGGACATAAATCATATGCTCCATAAATATAAGCCTTAAAAATATAAAAAACTTTAATATTTCTTTTAAAATGATGCCTAGGTTTACTTTTAGCCAAGTTTTCAGTTTTTAACTCTACATTTAATAAAGCATGTGAATGAATTTCAAAAAATGTACTATATTTTATAGGTTTCATTTAATACCATTTAGGATATTCATCCTTTAAATCATTTGATTAAGCTTTTATTCGCATATAAGCTAAACGGACTTCTTTGTCTTTTATAGTTATTTTATTTTTATCTAATTAAACAGATTTTAAGGATATTATAACATCAGGTTATTAATCTTCATCTTAAGGAATGTCAATCTATTTAAAATATATAAATATATAAAAAAAATATTAGAATTAATATAACAATATAATAATACATATATAAATATATATATATATATATATATATATATATATATATATATATTCAAATATTTAAATTTTAATTTTTTTATACTTTTAATTCTTCTTCTATCGCAGTATGAGATTATTTCCATTCATATATATAAACTTTTTGTATATTTTCTTTTTTCTTTTATTAATTTTATAATGATTTATTATCTTTAGTTTTGACTTTTTTACAATATTTACTTCTTAATGTTTTTCCAGCAAAAGAAATTTACACAATAATATAATCTCCACAATCTTATAAACTCTTTTATATATTCGTAAGTTAAAATAATAACATTTTTTTTTACTTATATTTCATATGTATCAACTCTTAAAATATATCTTTATAATTACGGTTCTTTATAAATAGTAAGATTTTATATTTATACGGAAGCATTATTATTAGGAGAAATAGATAAAGAAATTAAAATTCTGCCAAAGTAAGCTGACCCTTCAATTTATTTCACTTTTCCATTTACTAATTAATCAAATTCTCCAGTCCTTTCTTCTAGAGGTATTCCATATAAATGATACTTTAATTATATAAAAAAGTTCTATAATAAAAAATAAAATAAAAAATTAATGTTATACCCATTTAAAAGGCATAGTTCCACCCCTTGAAATTAAAGTATTAATATTAAACCAATCATTAGAATTAGGTATTTCAGGTATACTAGCAATAAAGTTATCTGCCGTTAATTTTCTCTATTTAATGGTAAATAAAAATATAAAAAAAAATTATATAAATATAAATATATAATATATATATAAATATAAATATATATATTTATTTTTATAATTTTATAATTTAATTTTAATAGCACTTTATCCCAAACTCTTAAAACAATTTTATCATTAAATACTGGAATATGAATGGGAAAAATAAACTTTAATTAAAAACTAGGTTTTTAAGTATTTTTAAATACTTAAGTTGCAAGTACATTACTACCTACTCTGCTAGAAATAAATCTATTTTTAAAATATTATTTTAATAAAAATTATAATAATAATAATAATAATAATAATAATAATAATAATAATAATTATTATATTAATAATATTTATTATTATTATTTAAAATATACGAATCACAAGAATTATAAGAAAGAATTGGAAAATCTTCCCCTTTAGCTATTGCAATAATCAATTGAAATTATTCTTAAGGTAATACCGGTCTATTTAAGGTTACAACACCTCTTTTAGCTAATTTTTTTAATTCTATTTATTCCATTGTTAATTAATCATCTGGTATATTTATAAAATTATATTATTCATCATCTTCTTCATTATATTCATTTATATCATGTACAGGAGGTCTATCATTAGTTCCTATTATATAACATGAAACCAATAATAATCCTCTTTCTTAAATACCAAACTAAGGATTTATTAAAGGCAACCAAACCTTAAAAAGCTCATGATTATTACTTCTATATAAAGTAGAAATTCCTATTGATTATTGTCCTATTAATTCATTTTAACGAAATGGATTTTAACTAAATGCTTAAATTAAAATTTCCGTGCCTTCAAATTCGACATCACTTAGTCTTAAATTGGTAAATGTAAATGACTAATTAAATACAACTGTATTTGCATTATTTTTCATATCGGTTACTTATGGAGCTAAATTTGCGACTGTTATTTTTATGAATGGATCTGATCCATCGGCACTACTTGATATTAAATTCCTTGCTTCTATAATTGTGACTTTTTTTTTTATTATTATTTATTTTTGTTATATTATTTATACCTTGTACTTGGTATTCTTTTTTTTATTCATTTTTAAAAAAATGGGTTAAACTTGAGGCAAATACTTAAAAGTCATTTTATGTTTCTTTTATTTTATCCATTTTTTTTTTTTATTATTCAAGTTTGAAAAAAAAATTAAAAATATTATAAATATTTTAAGATATATTAAAAAAAAAAATTTTTTTTTTGTTTTAATTTTTATCTCTTTATTATGTATTTTATTATTAAAAAAATTAAAGAAATAATATTTTATAAAATATATTTAAATTAATTTTATTTCTATTAATTATTTTTTATTATAATTAATATTTTATATTTAATTATTAATATTAAAATTTAATATATGTCTTTAAAAGCTTCATTAGAAATTTTAATTAATTTTCATACTTTTAAAAATATAGGATTATATAAATAAGGGATATATAATTTAAAAGCTTAAATATACTAAGAAGTCCAAGTTTAAAATCAAAATAATTCAAACAACTAATAATAATGTAGATTTTAAAAAAATATATATATATATATATATATTTTTTAAAAAAAAAAAGAATATGAGAAAATATATTCATAACCATATTCAATATTCGATATATCATAAAATAAAAATAATATGGGCTCTAAAAAGGAAAATTATATTAGAAATGGGAAATTATATGATACAGATTTTTTTAGCAAACTTTTTATAATCAAATATATTGAATAAGAAATTGATATTAATGACATATGTTAATTTCGTTTAGAATTAAATGCTTTTCCAAATTTATAGGATGACAATTTATATTTTATTGTAGAACTTTCTTATGCCGATTTATCTATTTTAACCTCCGAAAAGTCGTATGGAGATATGATATATAATTAATTAAATCCTATATCTATTTTTAAAAGCAAATTAACAAATTGTTTTAAAGGTTAATATAAAAAAAATAAAATAATGATAGATATAAAATATATTTATAGAATAAAATAATAATAAATTATTTATTAGTTAATATTATTTATTATTATTATTATGTGTTTTTTATAAGAAAAAAAAAATATTTTATAAGTTTTAATTAATTTTTGTAAAAAATAAAAAGGTATACATGAATATATACCTGTAATATTTGATTAAAACAACACATGCTTAGTAAATGTAACAATACATACTATATTTTTAGGTTAAATCTAATAAAATATTTTTATAATAATATTTTAATTATATTAAAATAAAAAAGATTTAAAATTCAGAGTTGATAATGCCGACCTTATAATAGAAACAGAATTAGAAACAGCAACTTTATAAACAGATACGACATATAATAATAATAATTGTATAAAATCATTTAAAGATTTTCTTAAAAAATCAACGAAAAATTGTATATTTACAATAAGAAAAAACTATTAATTTTTTTTTTTTTAGTTTAAAAAGAATAACTTAATATTTTTTACGATGCATATATAAATACCTTTAGATAAGGGTTTTATATATTTTAAAATAGATTTGCTAATATATTTAAACATTTTTAAAATGAATTTAAAGATATAATAGAATAAGTAAATAAAAATAAATTTTATTTGAATAATTTCTTATCTAAATAAAAAAAGATTTTAAATTATTAAATACCATAACCTAATTTTTTAAAAAAATATTAAACATAGATTTAATAATAATAAAATTAATCTTAACAATAAATAGACTTTAAATAAAAATTTAATATATCAGAATATTATGATTTTACCCAAAAATAAATAAAAGATTAAATATCAAATGATATATAATTAGTATAAAATATAAAAAAATAACTGAAAATAATTTTTAAAAATAAAATATAAATTTTAATTAATAAATAATAAAAATAGGATTTTTTAAATTTAGCAGCTATATAATTTGAATTATGGCATTTTTTTGTAGAAACAATAAAAAAAAATCAAAAATAAATAAAAGAATATTTAAAGTTGCAATACACTAAAAATAATAAAATAAAACTAGGTGAAGCAATATTCAAAAACAAAATAATAGTAGACAACTTAGCAAATAACGAAGAACAAAATGTAGGAAAGAATAACTGCAAAATAGCATCTGAATATAGGAAAAAAGAATAAACAAATAACTAATAAATACAATAATAAGATATTCTAGATTTATCTTTATTTTCAGATTAAAATTTATGTCCGATTTTATTCGAAGAAATATACGAACTTGAATAAAATAAAAATTAATTAGATATCAAGAAAACATTAAAAATCCGGTGAATATATAGTAATTATAAAAATAAATAAGATTTTAATATTTAACTTAATAGAGGAGAAAAACATATATTTGTTTTTGTACATGGATATTAAGGTGATTAATATGATATGAGGTTAATTAAAGATAATTTGATTATTAAGTATCCTAATAGTATATGTTTATGTTCTAGTTCAAATGAGAATAAAACAGATGGAAACATTTCGGAAATGGGTTAAAGATTAGCAGAAGAAATAAAATTATTCATAAAAAGTCTTTAATGTAAAGAAATATCTAATTAAAAATTTATAATAAAAAAAATATTTATTATTATTTAAAAAAATAAAAAGAATAAGCTTTTTAGGATATTCATTAGGAGGTTTAATAATAAGAGCATGTATTCCATATTTGTAAAAATATTATAATAAATTTTATACTTTTATGACATTTTCTACACCTCATGTTGGAAATATGTATTAAACTAATAAAATAGTAGACGCAGGTTATTTTATTAAACATATAAATATTTAAATATATAAAAAATTATATAATAATTAATATAAATATATATATATATTATATAAATATATATTTATATATATATATATATATATTCTTATTTATAATTTTATATTCATACAAATACATATATATAATTTTTACATATATACCATAGGGTTATGGATAATGAAAAAATTTAGTAAATAGACTTGTCTTAATTAATTAACATTATCTGATGCAAAAGATATTAAGAATACATATATATATTCTCTTTCTACTTAACCTGTTTTTTATTTTTTTATCATAAATTATTTACATATTTTTTTTATATATTTATTTTAGGGATTAAACTACTTTGAAAATGTAGTTGTTTTTAGTAGTTTATAAGATTCTTATGTTTCTTATTCTTCAGCTAGGATATAAAAATGTTCATAATCCTAAAATTAAGATGCGTATTTTTTATTTAAAAAAAATAAATTATAATTTAATTTAGGAATTGTTAAATATATAATGAAATGGTAACTAATATTTTATAAAATTTAAAAAATAAAAAACTTCATCGTATTGATGTAAATTTCTAAATTAAAAATAAGTAATAATTGATATATATATATTTATTTGAAATATAAATATTTTAATCTAATTTTAAATCATTTTATTTTATATATATATAAAAATATTTAGATCTTTCAATAATATGATAGGAAAAACTGCACATTTACAATATTTATAAAACTAGACATTTATGAAAATGCTTGTATATAACTATGATTATTTTTTTGAATGAAAATTTTATTTATATTAATATATAAATAAATATTTATAACATATTATTTATTTTTTTATATTTTTTTCATTTATTTAATTAAATTTATTAAATTTCTTTTAAAATTTATTTATTATTTTCATTATAAGTGTTTAAAATATCTTTTTCCTTATTAATTTTATCTATTTTTTACATATTATTAGAATTATATATTATCGAATTAATTTTTTATATTTAATTTAATTCAATATCTGAATCATCTTAAAAAAAAATTACATTATTTTTTTAATTTAAGGTAGTTTTTATAATATTAACATTTTATTAATACAATTTATTTTAAAATATTGGACAACTGCTTTATAAATTTCTATTTTTTCCAGAACTTTAGCCTCTTAAAACTTATTTTACTTGTTTTAAAGATAAATTTTAAATAAATATATTAGGTTAATTAGATTTATTAGTATTTTATTTTTAATTATCTGTTTGTTCAACATTTATAACTTTTTTAGATTAATTTTAATTTTAAATTTATCCTTTTATATTTTAACTTTATTAGATTACTTTTTTTTAAATAAAGAACAATAAACTTTTAAAAAAATGTATATGAAAATTACTATTATAACTTATATCACAATCAGTAACTGATTATTTATTACTGTTTTCTGATTTTTGCTATTATGCTTATTTTTGTAATGTATTTACAATACTTTATTCATCCTATAATAATTCTTCAATTTAAAAATAGTAAGGATTATGATAAAGCTATTTCTTTAAAAAAATTAAACTAGGAGTTATTTGTTTGAATATAACATTATAGAAACTACTAAAGAAATTACTAAAAAAAATATAAATTTTAAAAATATTTTTATAATAAATTTCTCACTTAAAAAAAGGATTAATGCTTAAGTTTTTCCATCTTTTTTTTAAGTGTTCGTTAGTCGTTTTATTTTTAATAATTAGATAATTATGGAATAAAAAAAATCTTAAAATAAAAAAAGAAAACTTTTAAATATAAAAAAATCATTATAATTCTTTTTTTATTTTATATATTTTTGATTTTTTTTTTACAAATACTATAATAAAAAGTAAAGCTATAGATTTATATTATTATTAAATTGTTTCATTTTATTAAATTAGATTAATAATCAAAATTTATATATTCAAAGATATACCAACTAAGCATAATATAGTTAAATTAAAAATATAAAGAAAGAAATATCTATTAAAAATAAACTTTAATTAAAAAAATAAAATAAAATAAAATAAAACAAATTAAATTAAATATAATAAATTATAAAAATAAAATATAAATTTTTTCATTATTTTTATAAAATATATTAATTATTTCTTTTTTTAAAATATTTGATTTAATATACTTATAATTCCTTTTGCCTATACAAATACCTAACCAAGGGCAATGATGATCAAATTTTTCAACACAATTATCACATTTAGAACAATGTTTAGACCTTATAGGTCTCCATATAAAGCCTTTTTAAAATAAATATATTAATAATTTGAATTAATTTATTTTATACATGTTTGACAAAATTTTAATTCCAAAAGATGGCTTTTTAATATTGTCAAATTTTATTTAGGCATATCCTAAAAATCTTATATGATTAAATTTTATTTTATAGGAATATTTATCAAATCTTTATTAATTTCTGATTTACCTATCTTTTATTTTTTAAATATATAAAATTTAATTATTTTATGAATCGGATTTTTATAATTGATTAATTAAAATTTTTATTTATATTATACAATTCTTGGAATAATACCAGGATCTGTAAAAAAACAAGAAAACATCAAAAAGTTTGTCAAAAAAATAAATACTGTTAACAAAATTATAAATAATAAACTCTCAATCTATTTTTAATTAATATTATTTATTTTTTATTACATTAAAAAAAGTTTAAATTTAATTATAAAAAATTAATTGCAAATTCATAAGTTAAATTATCTCATTTTTAATTTTAATTTTATCATACCTCTTCGCATACAATGTAATTTATACAAGATAACAAATTTGTAAGTATGAAAGTTCCTATAAAATTTATATTCTCTGAACTATTTTTGAATTTTTAAAATTTATATATATAAAGAATTTTTATATTACCCAGTTAAAATTGATCCATTAAATAATATTTTACAATTACTTTACCATTATTAATAAAAATACTTTATATTTGTTTTATTTTCCTTAAGAGACTATTTCATACTAATTTCTATAATTTTATTATCTTAAACTAAAATTTTATCTTATTTCATTTAATCACTATTTATTTAATAAAAATTATATTTTATTTATTTTATTATATATTTAATTTTGATTTTTTATATATTTATATGAAAAAGTTATTCTAAAATTTATATAGACTGACATATATTTAATAAATATATATATATATAAAAATATATATTTATATATATATATATATATATTATATATATTTAATATATTAAAATTTTTATAATTTTTTAAATTTATATATTTTTATTTTTTAAGAATTGTATTATTGTTTTTTATTAATAATTTATTTAAAAAAAATAAAAATTTTTAATGTTTCAGTTTTACTTAAACTATTAATAAATAGAAAATTTAATTTTTTAAAAATAAATATTACAAAGTTTATATATAAATATATGTTTTTATATTTATATATATTATTATATTATAAAATTCTTTATGATTTATTAAAATTATTATTTTTAAATATTTATATTAAAAAAATATATTATTTATAGTATAAAAAAAAAATATGAATATGATATATATTTATTTTTTGAGGTAAATTGAGTATATATTTATTAAAAAATATATATATATTATATATATTAATATATTTTAATTATAATTAAAATTATAATTATAATTATAATAATAATTATTATTATAAATATATATATATATATATATGTATATGTATATGTATATGTATATATATATTATTTAATATTTTTATTTATATAATACTATTATATTTTTATCTTAAAAACGTATTATAATATTTATCTTTATTTAAAAAAAATATTTATTTTAATTAATATTATTATAATTCAGGTTAAAAATATATTTTTTAATCTAAATAATTAAAGTATAAATAATTATATATAAATAATTTTTTAATATCTTCTATTAATTTAATAATTTATATTTTTTATTTTAATCTTTAATTATATAATGTATAAATAAATTTAAATTTAATAAAGTTAATATTATAAACTTATTCAAAAATTTAAAATAGCAAATCATATATTTCAGTTTATAATTTACATTTAAGTATATATAATCATTTATATTCTTTTTAATATTTTTTTTTTATGTCATTAATAAACATTAATATAATATATTTTAATAAAATATAAATTCTTAATGTAAAAATAATATAAATAAGTTCTTAGATATTTTATTAGTTGTACATTTCTCATTTAGAAAGTCTAAAAATTTTAGCAAAATACCTTAAAATTTGACTTTAAATTCCTAATATTTTTCAAAAGAACTATCTTGCATATAGTAAGTATCCCAAATTCAACATAATTTTTATAATATTTAATAAAAAACAATTTATTTGACATATATAGTACCGATCTATCTTCGTACACAGCCCTTCATTACGCTTCAGAAAGAAATTACTTAGAAAATTTAAATATTCTTATATATTCAAAAGCAGATACAAACATAAGAAATGAGTAAGATTTAAAACTAGAATACCTTGTAAAATATTTAGAATGTTATAGAATTTATGAAAAATTCATAATTTTTATAAACAAAAAGCCTAATTAAAATTAATTTTATCATATCATATTATAAGGAGAGGAATATCAGACGAAATCTTAAAATTTACAAAAATGAAATGATTATTTGATTAAAAATAGAATAAAATAATAAATTAAAAAAATTTATTTGTAGAAGATGAAGAAATAAAGGGATAGAAACTCTAATTTATAAGAGAACTTGGAAAATGTGGTTTTGGTAAAGTAAATTTAGACATTTTCAATGTAAAAAATACTCCATGAAAATAATGTCTAAATAATTGAATAAACAAAAATATAAAAATATATTATAAAGGAAAGAAATGAAGGGAAATCCTTTTATTAATTAACTCTGATTTTTTTTTTTAGGATAATTAGTATTTATATTTAATTTTAGAATATATCGATGGAGGAGATTTGAGTAAACTTCTTTTTAGAAAAAATAGACTTTAAGAAAATATCGTTAAAAAATATATAGCCGAAATTATTGTAGTTATAGAACAATTACATTTAAAACATATCATCTATAGAGACCTTAAACATTAAAATATTCTCATAAATAATGATGGGCATATTAAATATATTGATTTTAGTTTAGTTAAACTCAATATTAATTCTAGATAAAAGACTTATTCTTTTTGTGGAACCTCTATGTATTTAGCCTCTGAAATTGTAAAAAAATAAAAATATGGGAAGGCTGTAGATTGGTATGGTATATGATTATTAACTTATGAGTTATTTACTGGAAATAATCCTTTTTATGGGTGTAGTAATGAAGCTGTCTTTGAAAATATTTTAAATATAAAAATTAATAAACCTAAATATATATCTAATAATACTTGGAATTTTATAAATAAATAGAAAATATAATATATATATATATATATATATATATATATATATATATATTAATATACTTTTTTTTTTATTTTTTTATATTATTAGAAAAAGATTAAATTTTAAGAATTAATTAAAGAATAAAAGAACATAAATGGTAGAAAGATATATATTAGAAAATAGTAGCTAATAATTAATTATATGTTTGATTAATTTTTTTTAAGTTATAAAAAGAAAATGTCAAATGGAAAATGAAACAAAAATACAAGAATCTTTATAAAAACGCTCTTATAAATATATATAATGCTTTATAAAAAATATTTTATTTAAAATTAATATTTAGAAAATTATTATTCATATTATAATAAAGGAGATTCTGTAAAATTTCCATTTTTATTCTGTTTGGTTATATTATTGACAATTTTATAATTTTTTATATTAAGATTATAAATATATAAATTGAAAATTTTAAAAATTAATAAAAATATAAATTAAATATTTATTTTAAATATATACATAATTAATAAAAAAAATAAATTAAAGTTTCGTTTTTGTTTAATGAATAAATAATAGTACTAAAAATAAATAAATACAAAAATGCATAATAATCCATTAACTTAATCATTAGTTTTTCCTCAAAGCTATGTTTTTAAAAATCAAATAAACAATTATCATCATAAACTAACTAATTCAAGTATATATAATTAAGAAGATGCAAAATACAATAATAAATTAATATCTACAATTGAATAATAAAATTAATAAAAAAGTAAAAAAATAAAGGAATACATATATTTTTTAAAAAAATAAAATATATTATTAATCTAAAATAAAAAAGATTTATATTAAAAATAATTAAATACTTTAGATAAAATTGATTTGATTTAAAAGTACTTTTTATTTATTTTTTTATTCTTTTTAATTAAAATAAATAAATAAGCAATCAAACTTCTAAATTTGAACATTTACCTTAAATAAATTTGCCAAACATTTCTTTTTATTTACAACAAAAAGATCATAATAAATTATATTTAAATCAATAACAATAATCAAAGAGTATTTTTAAAAAAATACAGTAATTATCCTTTATTAAAATAAAATATATATAAAAAAGAAAATAAGTTACCTTCATTAGAAAAGGCAGCAGTTGTAAAAAGATTGCATAATTCAATTGATTTAAATTAAATTAAAAATATTTAATTATTACCTCTTACTAAATTAAATAGTAATTAATTTATTAATCATAATCCTATATTTTAGAAGCATTAGTAATTAATTTTAATTTTAAATACGTTTAAATATATATAAAATACCATATTAGATAAAACAAAAAAATTATTTAAATTTAAAAAATAAAAAATTAACTTTTTAGTAATTATTTTATTTAAAAATAGAATAGAAAAGACTTAATCATAATAATAATTATAACCAAATTTATTAAAACAATAACAAAAAATTAAATATTCAATAAAAACAAAACCAGGTTTGACAATTTAAAAAATATAAAAAATAAACCAAGACTCAGCCATATTAAACCCAAAAAACTTATCTGGTTTAAACTTAAATTTGTTTGCTATATGTGATGGTCATGGTAATACTATTTATTTATTTTTATAAAAACAAAAACTAAAAAGGTTTAAATGGTCATTTAGTATCTTAACTAATATCAAAAGTACTCCCTTTAAATATATAAAAACACTTATAATAAGATTTAAAATAAACATTAACAATTTCATTTAAAGAAACAAACAAAGAAATCTGTTCATAAAACTTTGATTCATATCTTTCCGGTTCTACCTTAGTTTCAATTCTAATAAATAAAAACAAACTCTATATTGCTAATGTAGGTGATTCAAGGGCAATTATAGGAAAATAAAAAGGAATAAATAATGGTTTTTATTTCCAAACATTAACCACAGACCATAAGCCTTGTTTGGAACGAGAAAGATAACGTGTAATAAAGGCTGGGGGAAGGGTATAAAGTTAAAGTGATTTTAATGGATAACCAATAGGCCCTTTGAGAGTTTGGTAATAAAATATCGATATTCCAGGGCTAGCAATGACTAGAAGTATGGGAGATAAAGCAGGTATTCTAGCGGGTGTTATTTCAGAACCAGAAATTAGTGAATATGACCTAAGTAGTGAAGATAAATTTATTGTATTAGCTTTTGATGGTATTTGGGAATATATGAACAATATTGATGTTATTAAATGTGTTTCGTAATTTTATGAAAAAGGGAATGTAGAATAGGCAGCTGATAAATTATTAAATGAAGCTGTTTAAGTTTGGAATAAGGTTTTTTTTAATTTTTTTTTAACAAAAAAAAATTATTTTATTTTTAATTTTTTCAAAAGTAAAGTTTTGCAAGAGATGATATAACTTGTATTGTTATTTTTTTAGAACATTGAAATTATTTAATAATAAATATTCTTAATTAATGAATAATATATATATATATATATTAATTAAAGCTTATTTTTTATTTTTTTATTAAGAAAAAAAAAAAAAACAGTTGTTTATTTGTTTATTGGTATAAATTTTAAAAGTTTATTTAAATAAAAAAAAAGGTTAATTTTTGTTTTTATAATTTTTTAATAAATTTTAATATAATATTTAAAAAAATTAAATATAATTTACTAATAGTATTTAAATAAAAAAATAAAATACATTAAATAATATAACAATTAAAAAATATGAATAATGAAATATCGGTAATAGAAGAAGTAAAAGAAATCCAAGAAAAACACTAAAAATTTGAATAAGAATTAGAACTAGAATACCGCAAGATTTAAGAGAAAATGCTAATATCAGAAAAAGGGCAATAAATAGTTGAATATAACGAAAACCTAAACACTTATTTAATCGTCCTTCCTGAAAAAATGGAATAAACATTTAAACATATGAAAGTAGTTTTAGATAGGAGATATTAAATAATAATAAAATCATTAACAAATACATACAATAAAATAAAATAATTTAATACAATGTTAAAATAAATGGAATATAAAATGGGAAATTACTAAAACGTAAGAAATATTCAAAAAGAATGTCAAATTTATAGAAAGTTTTCGGAAGTTTTATAAAATGACATTAAAAATTTAATGGACGAATTTATAAAAGAAGAATAATAGATGAAAGCATTAAATTAAGTATATGAAATGAGAAAAAAACATATAAATGAATTAAATGAAAAGAATTTACATTTATCGAATTTAGTTATGAAATTAAGAAAATATGTAATAAAAAGATATTCTAAGAGATCTAAAAATAATTATATATAAAAAGAGATTAAATCAATATCCAATTTATAAAAAATATAATATTTTTGTGGATAAAATATACACAATTAATTATTAAAAAGTGAATAAAATTTCTACTCAACTACAAATAATGATTTTTTTTAATAAAAAAATATATAATTTATGACAACTTAATCTAAATATACGAAAAATACATCCCGAAATATAAAAAATAAATAATAAGAATATATAATAGATTAAAATTTATAAAAACAAGAAACTATAGAAAATCAAATTTTATAAAGACAATAAAATATAGAAAATCAAATTTAAATTTTCAAAAAATAAAATGATTTCATTAAAAATAAAATCATATAAAAATCCAATTTCTTCTTTTTTAAATAAAAACTTTTCGATTCTTGCTTTAATTTATATATAAAAAAACTCGAAAAAAATCTTAAACTCGTCTTATCAAATACAGAACTTTAAAATTCTCTATATTTTAAAATTCTTAAAACTAAATAAAACTAAAATTACTAGTCTAAAAATGTAACTTAAACCCCTAATTTTATGGATAGATAATCTAGAAATTTGATACATGATACACTTAAAAATATGGTTAAAGGAAAAAAAATTAAAGCTCATTTTTAATTACTGAAGATTAATTCATGTAATATGATTCTTCGAAAATTATTGCTTGTATGACTTTTAAATCTTAAAGTTTTGGTAAAATAAAAGAGATTTTTGAAAAAAAAGCTAGAATTTTATAAAATAAAATTTCAAGCTATAAATAAATTATATATTGAAAAAAAAAAATATATATATTATTTAATTTAAAATATCTAAATTTTATTTTTTTAAAAAACAAAACAAAAAATCTTAAATTAAAAATAATAAATGAAATTATTATTTATAACATTTATATTATTAATAATATAAACATTACAAATACAATACTTAAATATTGTAACAAGCAATGAATTAAAACAAGAAGACATTGAAATAATAAAAAGCAATTAAATAAAATTTAAAAAAGGCTCCGACATAATAAACTTCTAATATAAATCATCCACAATAAAACCCATTAATCCCTAGAATATTCTTTATATTTCTAACTTTCCATTTGATAAATTACAAATAATTAGATGTGGAAATCTACCTGATATTAGTTAAAGAATAGATAATCAATTAGGGTAAAAATTCGAGGCTTATTTTTCAAGCAAAGGTTATGTATTTCCTTTAAATAATACTTAATGTAAAGGCTTTAATGTATTTTATTATAGAAATGCAACAGCAATTATATAAAATGAAGTTTTAGATATAACATAGCTAGCTACTTTATATAAATTTCCTTTTTAAATAAATAATTTTAATCTAAATGAAAAATTTTAAATAACTTTAAATTATTAATAAAACAATACTTATTTAGATCTAAAATGCTTTAAAATTTTAAAAAATATTAATTAATTTAATTTTAATTAATAATTCATACTTTCTATAAATTAATCTTTTTCAATTAATGATTAAGGAAATATTTCGAATATTAAAGAAGAAGAATAATAAGAGATTCAATAATTTTAATTTTAAAAAAGTGCTTTTGGAGATGGTTTGCATTAAAAAGTAAGAATTAATTTTTAATTGAAATTAAAAGAAAATCAAAAAAATTAAAAATGTTCAATTTTGATTCTTGATTATTTAGATAATACTTAGTATGTGGATTAAGATGAATTGTATTTACATGATTAATTTGTAAAAAAAATAAAGATAAAAATATTAATTATTTAAAGAAATTAATTATTAAATTTATAAATATATATATATATTTTAAATTTTTAAATACATATAGAAATTAAAAAATTTTGATTTACTTGAAATTGAAAAACCCTCTTATTTAAGCACTTAATATATCTATATATTAAAATATTAATTTTAAGATGAAAGCATGCATTTTGATCTTAATTATCCTATTCATTATAGATATAGAAGACCTTAATTTTAGCTTTATAAAACAAGCTTTTTGAATATTTAACCGTATTTTTATACTGATTGTTTGAAAAAATAATAACATTAATCTAAAATTGAAGATAAAATAGTAAAAAATATATTTGGTAAACATTTTTAGAGAATCAATGATGATGAATTGAAGTAAATGAGTTTATTAGAAAGATAAATACCAATAGGAAACTTAAAAGACAATGATTATGTACTTATTGTGACTATTTTTACAACTATTATAATGTGTGGATTTTTAACAATATAAATATAAAAAAAACAGTTTAAATAATGAAATATTAAAATAACAAAAAAATGTTTATTTATTTATAAAATAAAATTCTATTATTTAGATAAAATTAAAAATACTATATTTTTTATAATGATAAAATTAATACTAATTTATAATATAAATAATTTATAATATTTTATTTTTAATATATATCTATTTATTTTTTATTACAAAATATATTTATCCTTATTTTTTTCTTTTTAATTTATATATAATTTATTTATTAATAATTACTATAATAAATTATATACATTAGATTTATTTATTAAATACTATAATATATGATTATATATAAATTTATTTTAATTAATAATTTTATTTTATTAAAAAAATATCTATAATATAAAACTTTAATTTATATATAATAAATACCAGAATAATAAATATAATTAAATAAATATAAAAATAAATATATAAAATTAATTTATATTATTTTAAAATATATTTATATTACTATTTTTAATTATATTTTTATTAACATATAATATATTTTTAAATTAATTTTTTCTTTATCAACATTTTATTTTATTTATAATAAAATTAATGTAGTCTTTCATTTATTAATCAATATCAAAATCTTTAGTAATTTTTATATATTTAATGAAAGGTTTTATTAAAAATCTTTTAAATAAAATAAAATAATTCTATTCTTTCATTATTAATTCAAAAAATTCAAGTTCAGACAATTAATTATATAGAAGTTCATTTATTTATTTAAATTAACAATATTTTTTTTTTAATTTTTTATTTGAAGAAATTAATAAAAGAAGACATTTTTTCATTTAAATTAGCTTTTTATTACTTTAATTTTTATTTTTTATCTAATATTTCTTTAATTTATTCAATAATTTTAACTTTTTTTATTACAAAGTTTCAAATTACTATTAAATCTTTTAGTATTCATAAATAATGTATTATTTATTTTATATAAATTAAGTTTCTTATTGTTAATTATTTTGTTTTAATAAGGAATTATTAATTAAATTTCCTTAAAAATTAAATATATTATTTTAATTTTCAGAAATAATTTTTTATTATTACTAAATAAAATCATTTATATTTTGTAATCTATTTACTTGTTTATTTTATTAAATTACTTCTTTATAAAAGTTGTTATTATTACATTAAAATTATTATTATTATTACTATTATATAAAAGAAGATTATATTTCATAGATATTCTATTATTAAATAGGAATATAACTGTCAAGTTAAAAATTATTATTTATTTATTAACAATTAATAAAATTTCCAGGAAGATTTTATACATAAATTAAAGAATCTATTAATTAATAATTAATCATTTTTTCAATTTTATTTTTAGTGTATTATTTATTATTTTTATTTATTTATTTTTAATTTTATTTTATTTATCATTTTTGAATTAAGACGCATATATAATGTATTTCTTTCCAAAACGTTTATAATTAGTTTATATAAAAAAATAGTTAAAAAAACGGATAGAAATTAATTACATTTAAATTTAAAACTATTTAATTAATATTATTATATTTTACAAAACAGTTAAAAAAAAAATTAAAAAAACTAAAACGTAATAAAATTAATAAAAATTGTCTAAAGTTTTATCAAATAAAAACTTAATTTCATGTTTTTTTATTTTTTTAAATAAGATAAGATAAAAACATATATTTTTGTTTGAAAAAATATTGACAGAAATGGGTTAAATTAAATTATTATTATTTTTTTTAAAAAAAAAACGAAAATAATTAAAATTAAAAATAATAAAAGAAATATAATTGATTGAAATATAAAAAAATATAATTGATATAAATATAGAATAAATTAACAATATTTTTAAATAAAAAATAAAAATAAAATATAATATTACCAAATTAACTAATAAAAAAATAAAATATTAACAAACAAACAATATAAAAAAAATATATATATAAATATTAAATAACATTATAACATTTTTTTCTTTTTAATTCTGTAATTTTTTTTACAAAAAACATAATTTAAAAAAAAATATAATACAAAGAAAAAATAAATCATAGTTTTTTATTTTTTTGTATTGAGTTTTTTTTTTTTTTTTTTTAAAAAAAATAAATACAGAAAAAAAATTAACCAAGCTTAAAAGTAATAAAAATATATTATCTAATTATTATTATTAAAAAAACAATAAAAAAAAACAAAATATCATATAATATCTTCATCTTCATCAACAATAAAACTTTTAATATCCGCATCTTCTTCTTCATCTTCATTTTCTTCACTTTCTTCGCTACTCGAGACAATTTCATTATTCATTTTTTTCAACCTTTTTTATTCGGCAATAATTCTCAATCTTTTTTCTTCTTCTAAATCTTCTTTTTAACCAATAAGTTTTGACTAAAATTCTTCGTAAGCCATTCTTCCAAAATTACTCTCAAAAATTTACTCATTATCTCTAATTTTAGCTTTTTATCTTAATTTATCTTTATTAATAATTTTATATAATTCCTTTTACGCTTCATCATCTTCTTCATCTAAATCTTCTTCATCTTCAGTTCGAACCACAAATCCATCCTCATAGTCATAGTCATCTTCAATTTCGACTCTTTATTTCCTTTATTGCATTTATTATTGTCTTTGTCTATTTTAATTTTATTGTTGTTTTATTTTTTTAGCTTTTTAGATTTCTTATAATTTCTAATTTATTTTTATAAGAGCAGCTTTATATCTTTTCATTACATCTTATTGTTAGGAATTTAACCTTTTCATACTTTTTAATTTATTTATTATTTTTTACAAGTATTATTATTTTTGGAAAATATTTAAGTTCTTAAACATTTATTATTTACTTTATTATGAATCATTTTTTAAATATTATTATTTTAATAATTTGGAGTTCTCTATGATTGTTATTGTACAAATGGTTTTTGCTCTAGCTTTTATATGTTTTTTAATCCTATTTAGATTAATTTTAGTTTTATGTTAATTTATAATATCTTATAATTATTATTATTATTATTATTATTATTATTATTATTATTATTATTATTATTATTATTATTATTATTATTTTATTATTATTTTTATTATTATTAGATTGTTATTATTAAGTTTTATTTCTCATTAATTTGTTTTTGTTTTTGTTCGTTAGTATATTATTATTTTTTTTTTTTAATACATTTTCAATTTGTAGTACTTTTTTTATATTTCATCGTTTTAATTTCCAGTTTTAATTTTTTAATGCTTGATCTAATTTTAATATTTAGTCTTTTAAAGGAAATTAAGATAATCTTTTTTATTAATTATTATTTTAATTTTATGGCTATAATTACTATGATTATTATTGTTAAATTTTTATTATTATTATTACTATTATTACTATTATTACTATTATTACTATTATTATTATTATTATTATTATTATTATTATTATTATTATTATTATTATATTTATTATTTTTAATATTATGTATTTTATTTTGATTTTTTTATTTATATTTTTTGAGTTTTATCATCATTTTATTATTACTATTATTATTAATTAAATTAATTTTAATTTTGTTTTATTTATATATTTTAATTTTATTCAGATTTTTATTAAATTTATATATTTTGCTGTTTTTATTGCAAATTTTATTATATTTTTTAATTTTATTTATTTTTTTAGACAATTTCTATATTTGTTTTTTATTTATTTTATTAATTTTATTCTTTTTATTGTTGACTTTATTATTAATTTGACTTTTATTAAATTTATTTTTAATTATTTTCTTATATTTTTTAATTATTTAATAAATTATTATTTTTTGAATTTTTATATTAATATTATTTATTATTTTTGTCTTTTTCTGATTTTTATATATTTTTCTATTCATATTCTTTTTATTTTAATTGTTATTAATTTTTATCTTAAAACTTTTATTCATATTTTTTAATTTTTTCCTTTTCATTTTAATTTTACTTTGAAATACTTTCATCTTAATCAACTTTAATCTTTTTTTTATAAGAATTTCAAAATCTTCATTTTCTTAAATTTATTATTCTTTATGATGATTATTTTATACAAATTATTTTTCTTATTATTATATTTATTTAATTTAGTTTTTTAAATCTATTTATTTATCTTTTTATATATTATTTTAATGTTTTAACATTTCTTTTTAAATATTCTTTCCTATTATAATTAATATTATTATTTAATGTATTAATTTATATATTTTTTTAATTCTTATTTGAATTATAATTTTACTTACTCTAGTTTATTTCTTGTTCAATATTTAATTAGTCTTCAATTTAATCAGACTGCTTTCTTACTAATTAAAGTAATGACATTATATGTAAATATTATTTTTTATTTGTATGCAAAAAAATATTTTTTTAAAAAAAAATATTAATTATTAAATATGATTTTTTTTTTCTCAAGATAAAAATCAACAAATATTATAAATAAATTTATAAAGTAAAAAAAATAAAATAAAAAAAAAAAAAAGTTTTTATATTTTATATAAAAAAGAATAAAAAATAATACATATAAATTTAATTTAGCAAAAATAGTTAAAAAATGTATAAATAATATAAAAAAATAATTTGAAAAAACAAAATATAATTTCAAAATATATTTAATAATAATACAAAATATGCTTATTTATTTATATATAATATAAATAGAATTAATAGAATTAGAAAATTTTTTATAAATTTAAAAATAATAATAAAAAAATAATGATATAAATAAAAAATATATATATATTATCTTATATATATATATTTATATATTTTTATTTTTATATTATTATTTTTACCTTATTTTACATTTTATTTTTGAATATATTACTATTAATATATTTATATTTATTATAAAACAAAAAGATAAGTTATTTATTTTATCTTTTTTTTTAATAATAAAATAATTATAGAAAACATAATAAATTTTTAGAACAATACATTTTATTTAGTTACTTAACAATTATTTTTATTTATTCTAAAATTTTTATTATTAATTATTTAAGAAAATATAATATAAAATATTTTTTTTTTTTTCAAAATATAAATTAATATATAAATTATAGTTTTATTTATAAATTATATAAATTTATTATATTATTTTTTAAAATATAATTTTCTTTATTTTTTTATTAATAACTATTTTAATATATTTGATTTTTTTGTTATTAGTTTTAATTTTATATATTATTTATTTTTCTTATCTTTAATTTTATTAACAATTATTATAAATTCAAATTTAAATACTAAAATTATTAATATAATATTAAATTTGCTTCCGTAAATTTTTATAATGTAACTAACTCTATCAAATGATTATTAAAAAATATTTATGTTATAAACGTTGTTTAGATTTTTTTTTTTAAATATTTTAATTATTAATATTCATAATTATAATTTTTAATTTCATAAAAAAAAATTATTATATTAATATTATATTTAATTATATTTAGATGAAATATTTATTCAGAGCATTTATAATACTAATAAATATAAAATTATATATAAAACAATTTTAAAATAATATATAAATTTAATATATTTAAACTTATATTTTAATAAATCTTTAATTAATAAATATTTTCAATATTATAATATACGATTAGTAAAATATAGCTTAAAGGACTGTAAAAATATTTAAATGAAATTAATAAAAATAAAAAAAGAAAAGAAAAAAAGTAAACATAATAAAAAATAATACATATAATTTTTTAATATCCAAAAATATAAAAAACACAAATGTCTAAACCACAACAATAAAATATAGAAAAATCATAGTAAAATAACGAAAATAAATAAAAGCTCACCTAAGAAGAGCTCGAGAAAAAATGGAATTAAAGAATACTTACCGAATCTGGTTTAACAAAGGAATAATTTTACGAAAACATAACAAAATTATAATCAGAAGTCGACACAAAAAATAAAGAAGGAGAACAAAAATTCTTAGATCATGAAAATTTAAAAAAAATATAATCCGCAAAATCGAAAGAACATAGATATAAATATGAAATTGAAGATTAAAAAATACCAATAGATGGCGATTTTGTTGCAGGATCATAAATTTTTACAACTTAATGTTAATCATGTCATTCTTTAGAAAAAGATAATGCTGGAAGAAAGACTAGTGGACCTGGATTAGGACTTATTTATGGTAGAAGGGCAGGAGCTGATTATTATTATAATTATACCCCGGCATTAACTTATTCTTCTCATATTTGGAATACAAGAAATCTTTTTTATTTTTTATAAAATCCTAAAAATTTCATAAAAGGATGCAAATGTGAAATAAAAAATGGAGGTATTTAGAGTGAAGAAGAAAGATCAGATTTAGTAGCTTTTTTAAAAATATTTACTAAGGAATTTAGCGAAAATTTAAGAATTAAAGCTGTTAAAACTTATGGAGCTGATTACATTAATATTAATGCTGAAACTGAAGACTTATTACAAAAAGAAAAAACAAGAAGAAATTAAAAAAAATGAAAATTTTTGTTAAAATAAAAATATGTATAATATATCTATTAATAATATATATAAATATATAAATATATAAATATATAAATAATAATATATATATTTATATTTATATTTAATTATATTTAGATTTTTATTTATTTATATATAATAAAAAATATTATAATTATATTTTTTAATTTTATATTTATAAATATTTATGTATATATTTAATAAAGATAATATTTTTATATATTTATATTTATTTTGTTTTTTAAAAATAATTACCTTATATATATATAATTATTTTTTTTGAATAAATTAAATATATATAGTATTTTTTAAAATAATTTAATTTTTTTTCTATTATTTATTATTATTTATTATAAAATTATTTTTATTATCATTTTTTATAAATAAATTTTTTATATTATTATTGTGATTAAAATAATAATAAAATAATTATGCAAAATTAAAAAAGCTATAAAAATCAATAAAATATTCTTAAAAGTGATATTATATTATCTAAATAATTCACAAGTCCGTTTAAAATTAATTCACTATTTAGTACAAATTTTAATTCCAAATTTTAATCAGAAAATAAAGATAATAAAAGAAGAATAAAAAGCATTTGTGGTCATTTAAGTTCTAAAACAACTCCACTTTTAGTTAGTACCAATAAAAATGAAGATAATTGTTAATAATTAAAATAAAATTTAGAAATTTATCATGATGAGGCTTTTAAGTTTTTGTTATTATTAAATACTAATACACATAAATTATTAGAACTAGAAAACCAATAAAAAACGCAAAAGAAATAAAATTTAAATTAAATTAAAAAAACATAGAATTTTATAAAATCTAATTAATTAAATAATAAAGAAACTTTAAAATCAAATTAAATTCTTTCAATATAATCTATTATTGCAAAAACTTTTTATGAAAATTTTAAAATATAGACAAATTTATGAAACTATCATTAATTTTTAGTTAAAAACTTTTATTTTTATTTATTTTGTTTTAAATATATATATATAAATTTTGATAAGTATTTGTTAAAAATTTAACTAATATGGACTAGAATTTATTTAATATGTATATACATTTTAAATATCTTATTATTTATTTAAATTTTTTAATAAAATTCAATTTATTTATTAAAATTTCATAGTTATTTCACTATTTATTTTAGTTTATTTTTGAATGAAAAAAAAAATTAAATAATCCGAAAATAAGAATTATTAAATTATATATAATATTATTATAAAAATATATAAACAAATAGTTAATTACTTTTTTTAATATTAATTTATTAATATCTAAATTATTAATAATTTATATATAAAAAAATAAATTATATATATTTTATTATATATTTTATAATTTTAAATTAATATATTAAATAAATATACAATATATAAATTAAATAAATATAATAATAACAATAATATTAATAAGATTATTAATATAATAATAAAAATAAATCATTCACTTTAACTAATTGTAATTATTATATTATTATTAATTTATTTTTCTCTAATTTTTTTAATTTAAACAATAATATTTATTAATATTTTTTATTTAATATTTAAATATTATTATTATTAATTATTTTATTATTATAATTAGTATATTTTATTAAATTCATTGTTTTATTAATATTATAATTTTTTGTTACAGCACATCTAAAATGATTAATCTCGTGTTAATATTAATCAGCAATTAAATATTTAACTACTGGAACTCTTTAGTCTATTTATTATTTATCATTTACCTAAATATTATCATATTTTTCGTTTGTTATTTATTATATATTATTTCTATTAGTCTATCCTATAAACTAATTAGGATTTATGTCATTTTATAATTATCTTTTTCTTTTTCTTTTTTAAATTTTTTGCAGTATTAATCTTATAATTATTTAGCAATAAAATAGGATAATAAAATAGGAAATAACACCAATCCAGCAAACATAAATATTAATGATAAAAAAGTCATAAAATTTTTTAGTACTTTATTTCTTATTCTTAAGCTTTTTCTATTTAATTTAATTTTTTTATTTTAAATAAAATAAAATAATAAATTTATATTTTTTTATATAATAAATAATTTACTTAATAGCTTTAATTCCATATTTAAATGATATAAAAAAGTAGACATAAAATGGAATACTTAGTACTATAAAAATCAAATAAATAAATGTTAAAAATCTTATTAAATAGACTTTATATAAAGGCCAATCTTATCTTGAAGAATACTATTTGCATCCTAAAGGATTTAAATTTTCATAATGACCATATTCATATTTCGATTTACAAATCCAACAGAATTCATATTAACAAATACTTATAAAAAAAAATTATGGATATATATTTAATTTATGAATATTTATTTTTTAAATACATGCATTTCATGTGGTTACATCCTGATTATTTCTCTATATTTATATTACAATTAGGACATGTAGTACTTAAGCCTTTCTTAATAATTATTTTAATAGAATCATTTTATTTATTATTAGAACAAGTAGTATTAGGATGCCATATTTGAAGGCATTTTGTACATATATTTGTATTACATAAATTACATGGTTAGTATTTTTTAGTTTTTTATATAATTATATAACCGTCACAATTAGGAGTTTAACATGGTTTACTATTTGGTATTTTTAAAATTTATTATGTATTATATATACTTTTATATCTTTAAATATAATTCTATAAATTTTTTTCTAAGAACAATAATATTTCATCATGACTGAAATAATTATTACAATGCTAATCTTAGCATTTGATTTATTCAACCTTTTTTTTATTTAAAAATCATTATTAATAATAAGAAAAAAGAAAAAATTAATTTTACATTTAATAAATCTATTTTATATTAAAGATAATTAATAGTACATTAAATACAAAAACTATGAAGACACTTTGAATTTTAATAAAATGTTTCTTTTTATTCTAAGCAAATAATACATTGAATTAATTTGATTTAATTTAATTTATTTTCTTCTTTTTTATAGTCTTAGTTTAGTTCTGATTTATTTTAGGACTCTAACTACTAATTTGTATCATATTTTTGATGAATTTAGTTAATAATATTATTAATTATATCTTATTCATTACTTATATTTATATCTTATTTAGTATAAAGATTAATTATTGGGTCGAATTATTGTTCGTTATAACCTTTTTTGATAAAATTATATATTTCATTTTTTAAATAAAAAATTATTACCTTTGTCTATTAATATTTTCCTAATTGTTAGTAAATTAATGTCAATAATATGGTTAGATTAATTATTTTCCAAATAAACTTTTTATTTATTGTTATTTTATTAGCAATATTTATCTATATTATTATTTCCTTCATCTGGTATTTACAAATCAGACATTTATTTATTTTTATATAGGTATTTAATTAAGGATATTTAAAAAAATAATTAAAGTTTTTTTAATTTAAAAGATTATATTTTATTACATATATTTTCATTTTGCTATAAAATTATAATAGCTACATTGGGAAAAATATATTTAAAGAATTATTAAATATTATAATTTATTCTTTATATCAGAAATTTATTAAAACTAAATTTAAATTATTTAAAAATATATATTAGTGATATATATTATAGTACAATTTTTCTTTAATTATTATTTTTTTATAAAATAGATAGTAATTTTTATTTATTTTAATTGTTTTTTTTGGTTTTTAAATTATTTTTATTTTCATATCTTTTTTATATTTTGTATATTATATTTTCTACTAAATTTTAAATTTTCTACTAAATTTTACCAAAAAATGATATTTTTAATAAAAATTTTAACGAAATTATTATTAGTTTTTTGTTTAAAAAAAAACAATTCAAAATAACAATTTTTTTTTTAATAAAAACAATTTCATTATTTTTTCTTTTATTATTATGTCAAATAAAAATACTTTTTCTTTATCCGAATAAACTTTTAGTTAAATTAACAAAAATTAAACTATTCTAAATCTAGATTTTAAAGAAGGTTGTTTTAAAGATTTCATAAAAGCAGTTTCCTATTATAATAGAACACTTCTATAAAATTCAGAAGTATTAATCTTAATAAGAAAATAATTCCTTTATTTTATACTAGAACCTATTGACGAGAACCAAATTTAACTATATTTTTTTAATCAAAGATATTAATAACATTAGTTAAGATTGGAAAATTCTTATTTTTTAAAAAACTCTAATGAAATCCCAGATAATATATAGTACTGCTTTAAATTTTAAAGTTTTTAAAATTTCGTAAATAATATTTAAGATATAAAAGATTTTAATAATATAAAACTTGAATTTATACAAGATAATCAAATTATTTTTTATTACAAATTAATAGTAAATTAAATAAACTTTAATGGTTAGTAATAATCTTAATTATATTTAATAATAAAGCAAATTAATTTAAAAAATTTCATAAATGATAATAGATTTATACTTATACCAATTAAAATATTACTTGAATTAATTTTATTATAAAATAATAGTGATAAAGAGAATATTTATTTTAGTTTTACATATATTGAGGAAATTATCCATTTAGAAATTAATACTAATAAACCAAATAAAATTTAATTTTAATTTCAAATGAAATAAAATAATAATAATCAATCATACATATAATATAGTTAAAACTAAGAAAAGAAAAACTTTAATTTATGTCCAGATTAATTCAATATTTTTTATAAAATGTTAAAACCTTTTAAAGATTTATAATTTGGTTTAACTGATGAAAATCATTTAATCTGTAAATAAATATTTTAAAATAATCTAGAATACGGTCAGTTCTGTGTTTTATTTACGAATAATATAATTAAAAAGACATAAGACTTTTAATCAGATTACTAACAATGTTCATAATATTCATAAATTTGATAATATTTAATATAAAAATATTTTTATAATAATTTAATTTAATAAATATTGTATTTATTTAAAATGTTTATTTATAAATTATATTTAAAATAATATATAATTTATATAAATAAAAATAAATATAAATATAAAAACATAAAATTAAATATATATATAATTATTATAATTATAAACTCAAATATTTTTCTTTTATTTTCTTTTTATTTCTTTTTTTTTATCTTTTTTTATAGTAATAAAAAATATTTTTTTTTCAATAAAAATAAAAATAAAAAAATGTTGAATTAACATAATTAATTAATTATTTATTTTGTGATTTTTTAGGTTTTATATTTAAAGAATAAATTTTTATATTCAAAATATTGTATAAGAAATATTTAAATATGAATAATAATTATAAAAATATTTAAATATGAATAATAATATCAAAAATATGTTTTTTCTTTAGATGATACTGTAAATGATAATCTAACTTTTTATATTACTAAAATAGACAATACATTTATCAATATTATTTTTATATAAATAATCTATATATATGAAAAAAATGCTATTAAATTTTAATTAGCAAAGATAATACACATTATTATATTATTTAAATGCAATTATGAAAGAAGCTTTATGAATTTATTTGCGTTTAAAAAATCTATTTATCAAGATAAAAATAAAATATATTAAATTTTTCCTCAATCATTATTTAAATATTTAAAGATGTATTAATTAACATTATAATATTAATTTTACTTATATTTTTAATTAATATAATTTAGGACATTGAAATTGTATAAGATATGACATAAATGGAAAATATAATTTTAATTTAATATTTTATTAAGACTTTTGAATTTAAATATTATCCTAAATATAAATGATTTATTCTGCAACTTTTCTGGCTAAAAGCTCTTCATATATTAAGAATTAATTTGAAAATAAAAAGTAAATAAAATAAAAAAGTTTAGGTTTATTAGATATAGTTTTTTGTTATATATATATTTATTTTTATTAGTTTAAAAAATTATGTCCAAATAATATGAAAATAATTATTAGAATATAAACAATAAATTGATTATATTTTTTTTTATATTTAATCTATAAA